AGAGGGGGTCGCCCGGGCGGGGGGGGCGGGCTCTGCCGGGGGAGACACCTGGGGTCCTGAGCGCTCTCTCGCCCGGGAGGAGGGACCCCGTCACCTTTCCGGGAGCCCGGGGCCTGCGAAGGGCTGGGTGACGCGCGCAGGTCACTGCTGCGGGCGTTACGCTCCGAGCAGCAAGTAAATCTCAGAGGGTTTAGGGTAGTGGGCAAATCTCAGAGTTTTTACGGTGGCTGGTGGTGGTTAAGACCAGACGAGGGGTCTGACTCTTTTCCTCGGTCTTCCGTGCATTTGATCTTTCGTGAAACCTGCTAGTAGGTTGTTTTTCCACCCTCTATTTAAAGAAAAAAAAAACAAAACAAACAAACCAGTCTTAATTTTTATATTCACTGAGCTGCTGCTTTTATATATAGTCCCATGTAAAGGAGTCAATAAGGGAGTAATGCAGAGCTACATTTAGAATGCATATGCTGGTGTTTACGCTGTGACTCTCCTGGATTCATCAACTATTAAGCTTAAAGATGGAATTAAATAGGAAGGGAGGCCTGAGCTGTAAGTAAGGATTAGGTCTCATTGTTCCAGAGTGTGTTCAGAGACCCAGCAGACTTCCACATCTGATCTAGAAGTAGTTCTAAACGAGGCATCATCTCTGAAAGCAAATAAGGCAATACTTTTCCTATTGCCACACACGCTTTATTGAACAGAGGCCTTCAAGTGTTCTTAACTTACTCCTTGTCTTCTGTTTTGAAGGTAATTAGAGTGACGGGTTTTATGAAAGGACTTTACACGGATTTTGAATTGAAATCAGATAATGTTAAGGTGGGTATGAAACTTCCTTATTTATTTAACTTTAGTAATAGTATTCTTTGAAACTTGCCACAGGGTACTTTGGTAATTTCTGTGTTCAATGCCAAGTACCTGTCTTTAGTTTTGTGGAGAAATGGTAAAAGCTATTGACTGTTGGTTATATTATGCAATGCATGGGGTGAACACCTATAGATTGCATTTGTGGATGTGACACAAATAAGCTGTTGTGTGTAGAGAACTATTTCTGTACAGATCTCAAAACAGTGAGCGTTAATCTATGACCAGATCTAGGTTTCCAAAATACTGTTGCATTACAGATTAAAAAAATCATGATGTAGCAGGGTTGCCTTGAAGTAGTCGTAGGGCATTGATAATAAATCACAAACACTGGAAATCCACACACAGCTTTTTAAAGAGTCTTGTGGTCTCTCAATGGAATGTATATTTTTATATTTATTGCTTTATATGGTGTGTGTATACACATGTATGTATACAGAGATATATATATATACTGTATACATATATACACTAAATGTTCTTGCTTACTATCCCAGGACTTACCGAGGCATTCATCTAGTATGTGCATTCCACAGTAGCTTTATTACTGTGGACAAATGGCTAATTACTGAAAGACGAGTCTAATGTTATTACTGAAAAATGTTTTTCTTAAGGACAAGGGTGACTTCAGTCTCTGCTGCTCTTCTACTGTCTGCCTCTTTGCTGAGCCAGGGATGCTCACTCGTCCAATTACTAACTTGGTTGGAAATTTTCATCTCTTAGTCGTGGCAAATAACACAGTGTTTGTATGTTGCTAGTTAGACAGCTACATCTGTTGGTGATTGTTTAACATAGCAACTGAAAGTATGAGGTCTGTGAGCCTGGCTTGTCATCCATACAGCCAGTTACATGGATGTTGTATGCACTTCTTGCAGCTAATTATCTGTCTGATATGTATGTTTATTTCTGTGACTGTTACTGTTGGGATAACTCGAAACTAAATTAGTTATACAGTGGATTGATTGTTTATGTTGGTACTTTCCCTGTTGAACTTGTCAATAGGTTCTGTGATGAAGAGCAACTTAGCACATGCTGCCTCTTCTTTAGGGAGCATGGTGCGTTTAATTTGTCGCCCAAAAAAAAGATTTCCTAGCAACTCCTGAGTATGTATTTGTATTGACATATTGTGATATCTGTGAAGTTACACCAATCTTGAATACCTCTTTGAGAATTTCTTTCACAGTCCATGAGATCATGGTTTTCAAGAGTTCAGGCAGAGGAGATCAAAATGCTGTGGTATGAGGGGAAATGTCGCTTGCTTGTGCTTTTCTTTTCAAAACACTGGTCAGGAGAAAGACTTGGCTCTCCCAGAATGCTTCCTTATTGTGATTTCTGTTGGAGTTGTAGAAAATCAGGAGAGTAATCTTTATGCAGAGACCAAAACTACTCACAGAGAGCTAGAGGCTGAGAGGAGCAGCCAGTGTCCATGTTGTGAATAGCTGTATGCAAGGGTGATCTCGTTTATGTAACACTAGGGAATGATACTCATCTGGTGTGATGATCTGAGAATGGATACACTCCCAGACTTGGAATGGGCAGGATGCTTTCAGAAAAAAGAAAAGGTTTGTACCCACTGTGAAATAGTCCCAGTGCTGTAGTTCACAGTCTGCTTGCTGTGGGCTGGGAAAAATTGACGGGTGGTCTTTGCAAGCTAGTTGTGCTGTGCTGTTGCAGATGATGAGGTGCATAGGCTGAACTTAAGAAAGCCCAAAGCTCGTGGTCCAGCCTCTGTGGAGGCTGGGGCTGGCTCCTCGTCTAGACATCCCCTTACATGCTGTGAAGCGTCATGCACATGTACACGCAGCAACTGTCTTTGTTTCTAGTTTCAACTCACCTCTCCCACCTGGATATAGCAGTGGGATCCTAAAGTACCCACTGTTTCTTCTGTACTACCTTTTATGTGTCCACAGCTGGGATAACACATGCTGCATGGATAGCTGGTCCCCTCCTTTTGTGTAGAAAGAGGTGGGAGGCAGGCTGGAAGCATCCCATGAGCTAAATTGGGCCTGCAGAGCATGAACGTTAACCTCACTGAGTTGTTAGTTTGTTTCGGGGATGGAAGAGAGATGTAAGGGAAATAAAAAGTGCAAGGACAGGTACATTGGATGGTATTGCTGTGTGCGTGTGTATCAGAAAAGTTTGTCTTGTTAGGTCTAGTAAAAAGTTGTTCTCTTATAAATGGAGATTAGATATCAGGCTTGCTCTTTTAATCTTCCATATCGGCTTAATATGTGTATATATATACACACACACAGAAAAGTCTTTATTTTTATAAATACATATATAAAGTCTTACCACTTGGAATAGTGGAGATACCTTTGTTTGAAACCTACCCAATAAAAAATATTTTCTTAAGCTCTCAGTACGGTTTCAGATATTTGATTCTATTTTGATAGAAGTTTTATTTACTGATGCAGGTAGGACCCCTAGATTTCTCACTGGGTTCATGAGGATTTCGTATATGGACAGAACACACTGATAATGTAACTGCTGAAACTGATGAGGATGTATGAGAAAATTTTGGATCTTTATTTGAAAACTTGTTTGGTTTGGAATAGTGTCCTATCTCCTTCCATAGATTAATAGATTGCATATGTCCTTGGAAGGATGGACAACTATTTTAATAGTTGCAGTGTTTCCTTCCTTTCCTTTTTTATTTGTGAATGCAGGAAGCACTGGTGAGGGTGAAGCGTTCTTGATGTTAATGGAGACAATCTGAAAATCCCAGCTATGTGGCAGTTGTTTGTTTTAGTTGTTTCAGAAGAGTCAAAGATGGGAAGTACCCTGACTCTGGAGACTGTCTTCCTACGTGTTTAACTCTCATTTACAAGCTTGCAGCAGAACGCAGTTCTTGTTTATGGAGAGTGGCTCTGGGACTTGAGATCACACATGAACAGCTCTGTTAAGCCCCAGTGCCGCAGGAAGAGATGGTACTACCAGGTGGCCTGTAAAGAGTGTAGGCCTTGCTCAGCTGAGGAAATACTGGCTTCCGTGGCTTTCCTCTGTATCGGTACATCTGTCAAATTAGATCCAGGTCATTCTGGATCTGTGCACCTGAGATACCCAGACAGTAAGTGCAGTGCAAAATTGTGTGTTTTACTCGATAATTACAACTGCTCCTTTTCTGAATTAACTGAAATGGCAGTGGTCCACTTTTTGGTTATCAGTTTCAATGCTGTAGTTTATATTTGTTTGAACCTATGCCTATTAAAAAAACACACATACAGAATCCTTCTCACACCGGTTCACTTTTTAACAGGCTAGTAAAATACTTTCTTATCTCCACTCATGACTGTAGAGGATGAGTGAGTAGACTTATGTGCTGGGCCTAGAAAATATTCCTTGAATTTTATTATGTTTTATTAATAAAACCTTGTTGGTTTCCCCCCACCCCCCAAGTATTCTGCAGCTGCAGAGACTTCATACCATGACTTCATTCTCTGGGCCAGGAACCCTCCAACAAAATTTTACTTGGTGGGGGTTGGTTTATTTTGTCTTTATTTTTTTCTTATGAATTTGCATAATCTCCAAAAGCCATCATCTCTACTGAAGGGCACTTGGGCAAAGTTGTTTGTAAAGTATAATTATAAAACTAAAACACATCTGGTAATTGTGGAGATAAAAATATGTGCCTGTATCACATCTTTCTTATGTTTTCTTTACTTACTGTTACGTCTGGTTTGTAAAGTATGTGTACAAGTGTGTAAGTCCCACAGTTTAGACTTCTGTAAGTCCCATAACTTTGTGACGTGCTGTGCTGAAAAGTATTCAGGGCAAGAACTGTCCTGAGCAATATCTGCTGTAACAGTACTGTTATAACTCTTTAGTGATTCTTTTGGTAATACTTGCAATCGTTTCTTAAACAAAACTTTATCTTCTTTAACATGTAATGCTTGAAAATAGAGTGCCAAGGGTCTTGCAGCAGTCTGAAGATGCACTGGAGCTAGATGATAAACATATTACAAAGGCAAAGTTACACTTTCACTTCGGTCATTCCAGTTCAATGTTCGTCCATTATCAAAGCTGTAATTTCTTAATCAGAAATAAATAACTAACTATAAATAAGGGGGGGCCCTCTTTCCTAACCTTACAAACGATGTACTGCTCTTGTACAGATGCCTTCTGCAACTATTCCTCCCATCAGAGTTTTTCTAGTCTTTAGGTGGTGTGTGGAATTATTTTGGAGTCTCAATATTATTTCTTAATTGCTATTTTACCAGGATAAAGATGCCAAAATCAGCTTCCTTCAAAAGGCCATTGATGCTGTTGTAATGGTAACAGGAGAGCCACTGTCAGTAAAACCAGCGCGTGTTGTGGCTGGACATGAACCTGAAAAAACCAATGAATTTCTTCAAGCAATTGGGAAGTGTTGCTTAAATAAGGTATGACATCACATACATATTTTATATACATGGTGATATATTATCAGAGCGTATTTGCAACAGACTTTATTGACAGTCATCTGCTGTTTTTAATTACACGAGATAAATGTTGCGTCACCACTAATAATAACAACAACAACAACGAGATAGTATATGATCCTTGGCAGAGTTTGAGTCAGGTCCCCATGCAAATACATTCTGGATATTTTAGTGCTTTTAATGTATACTGGTTTTTATTTTTCACCTTATTCATTGGTCATTTAGTAACATTTATTACGTCTGAAGAAGAATATGAAGCTTCAGAAGTTTTAAAAATGTTGCATTCAGGCACATTAATTATATGACCAGATACTGCCACCTTTATCTCCTCTAAAATTTCAGTCAAATCTTTAATTCTGTAATGAAAGTAATTTTTCCAATGTCCTTCTTTTTTTGGTGTTTTTGGTGGTTTTTTTTAACTTCTTTTGAATTTGAAAATGAGGCAAAGGAGAAATTTGTTAACCTGTTAATAACTGCAGGGGCAGTTCTTAAAGTAATTGTTGCATGAAAAGTAATGGGGAATCTTTGCTTATAAGTGTTACAGAGATTTTTGAAATGCAAAGGTATTATCTAAAACCCTTGAATTAATCACTGAAGAAATCATGTATATTTAACTTTGAAATACAGTGTGTATAAGGCTGTCTGGAAGTTTAGTTTGGATTATCTTTGTCTGATCATCTGCTCATTTAAATTTATGTTATTTTGTTTTAATTAGCTGAGTGCTGTGAGCTTCTGCCATATGAATTGCTTGAGATCAGGAAGGGGGAAGCTGACAAACATATGCACAGAGACTGGATGCGTTAGAAAATGTGCTTGATGGAACAGTTCTGTAGAATGCTGTGATGATATTTACTATACAGAAGATACAGTCTACCCATTTGAGCTAAGATAATTAGCCCTTTGGCTTTTGTTGTGCTTAATGTGCATTGTGGAAAAGATTTCCTTCAGTCCTTAGCTTGATACTTTTAGTGCTAAGCTGAGCGCACTGCCTGGGCTTAGGTAGTTCAGGTAAATGTTGCTAATGTGCAGAAGTTTGTGTCCAAATGTGAAAACCCACAAAAATTCATAGTTTTGCATTTACAAACCAGGAGAGAATCAGAATTCAACCCCGAGGGCAATATCAGTGTTAGTGATCTAAAAGCTGCTCCTGTTTCAGGAAGAATGCCGTAGCAATGTGATGATTTTTTCTTTTTTTTTTTTGTTAATATAGTCAAACTCTTTGCCACTTGGACATGAAAATATGTCATTAACTTGCTGTCTAAGTGATCTAATTAATAATTGCTTGTTGTCTTAACAAATGAACTAGATGCAGAAGCTTTTTGAACAGCGTAACTACACCTTATTGAAACTCATTCTTAAGGTAGTTTTCTTTTCTTTGCTGATTGAGCAAGTATTAGCTGAAAGTGGAGTGGCCTAAGAGTGGATGCAAATACAACATAATGTGGTTTTAAGAGTGTTTAACCAATCTAGCACTCATGGTATAAGGATTTGACAGTAATTTACCTTATCATTTTGAAAAAATATTTAAGTTGTTGCAATGAGAATTGCTATTGTGCTATAACACATAAAAAGCACCACATATTTATGTAGCTCTGGCACATATAATCAAATTATTACAAGAATTACAAGGAGGTGTTTGACATAAAAGCACATTATTACTTCTCTGAAAGTTTCCAAAAGAGCAGAAATACTTTATTAAAGCAGAAAAGCTTTATTAAAAAAACCCCAACCAATCCCCTCCCTGTAAAAAACCCAAGTCGTGTTGATTACAGAGTTAGAAAGAAAGAAGGTATTTAATAAAATTATTTATTCATTTCAGTGATGTTTTTGTATTCCTTGCAGCTGTCCAGTGATGTTGCTGTAAAAAGAATCTTAGCTGGGGAAAGAGCTGATGCTAAAGGGAAGCCTCCATCCTCTAAATCTCAAGATAAAGAAAGAGAATCCAAAACAGAAGAACAAAAAAGCCATAGAGATAAAGAGGTGGGCATTTGCAACTTTTGTGGGGCACAGGGACTACTGCTTTTTATGGTTTGGGGTTTTTTTTAGCTTGCATTTTTGTCTGTGGAAAGTAACTGTGTAATAGAGTTGCCATGTATTGGAATTAATTTTTAGTTTTTACATTGTTTTTAGGGTAGAGGAGAGACTGAAATTAAAGACAGAAGCTCAAGCAGAGACAGAAAACCCAAAAGAGATTTGAAAGAGACCGAAGAAAGAGAAAAGGAAAGTGATAAACAGAAGGATAATGAAGACAGGCACAAAGACCCTGAAAGAGACACCTTTAAGGAAGGAGAAAAACAAGAAAGGGAAAGAAGCAAAAGCAGAACAACCACACAAGGAAAAGAAACAGAAAAAAACAAGGGAAAAAGAGACATAGAACGAGAAGATGATCTCGAGCGTGATAAAGGACAGGAAAGAGAGAAAAAAAATGAAGGAGGAAGAGAAAAGGACAGACTGAAAGGAAGAGACAAAGATAAGGCTAGGGACAGAGAACGAGAGAAAGACAGAGATAGAGGAAAAGATCGGGAAAGGGATAGACAAAGGGACAGAGAAAAAGATGGGGAGCATTTAAGAGAACATGGAAAGGATAAAGCAGAGAAAAAGGTAATTGAAATGTTACTTCAGAGAGCAGTAACTTTTGGCGTGTTGTGGTAGGGAGTGAACATTTGTTATAATGACCTTGCATGTTTGTATTCTCTGCTCATTTAACAATTAAGTACTTTCTTTAACAGCAATTACTCTCTTGAAGTGAAAGTGTCGGTGTGAATTTGATCTGGTAGGAGTGTGAATGAGGCCGTGTGTGTAAATTCGTGTCTCTGTCATGGTATATTTTGACTTGAGCCATAAGACTTATCGGACTGTGCTTCCTGAGCATCCAATAAGCAGTTTCTTTTCTGATCTCTGCATGATCTTTCTCCCTGAAAGAACTATTGGGAAGCCCATGTAGATCAAATAGTTTCCCTCTTGAAATGGTGCTCTATTTGCAGTGGACTCTGCACATCATGTTGCATCTTTGAGAATGAACACATCTGCTGTTTCCCCATACTTCAGGCCTTCTCAGACTAAAGGCCTAAACCTCCTTAAGAACCATCTCTTCATTGTCTTTCATTTTGCTGTTCTTTTAATCTTCTCTCTTCCCCCTCTAAATATTTCCTATTCTTGTTTTCTGTTGCGTGCTGGTTCGTGGTAGAAATTTGGGATTAATGGGCATTAAAGGTGCTTCTGCTAAGGGGTAGTTTAATTGTGTTAGGTGTGAGAAGGCACTTCTGTCAGTACCTGTCTTCTGGCCTTAAGGATTGTTGCCTTCCTGGTATTACAGTTTAACTGTTGATTTTGCTTTGTTAGCCTCCTACATGGTGGAGGCAAGGTAAAGAGGGCAGGTAGATGGATAAGAATACCATTGCAGTGTGCTCAGTTCTACTCTATGCTAATTTCGCCTTTCACATCATTCAGGTAGGTAGCTCGTTTCTCAGCACACTGAATCTAAAGCAATTAATTTCTTTTCAGTCTGCAGATTCTGAGGAATCCACACTTAGAAAAATGCAGAAGCCAACTAAAGACAGCAAGTACCAGCCAGATAATGAGGTTAGTAGCATAGATGATCTGGGAACCTGAACATTGAAAGTGTTGCATTTCAGAATGATTTGGGAGTCTGAATGAAAGGAATGTACGTTTGAAAGACAGGTAGATGACAAGTTTTAGGGCTGTAAAATAGATGCTTGTCTGGTTGTTTGGGTTTTGGGTGGTTTTATGTTGTTTTTTTTTTTATTTATTTCTCTGAACTTGGACAAAAGAAGGTCTACTCAGTTTATTTCTTTTTCTAGATTTTATTTCTGTGTATTGATATGTTGGATACTTCAGGAAAAATATTTATTTGGTCAAAGTTTTCTAGTCCTCTGAATTTTTCCTTGCAAGCTGTTATTTTTTTGGGGGGTACTCTAATACAAGTTACTGTTTTGGAAAGAAAATTAATCCAATGTGGTGTGTGGGCCTGTGTTTTGCAGCCGGATTATGGTAGAGCAGAATAGCAACTTGCTGATTGCCTCTGAACAGTAGCTGTTGCTTGTGATACCATTGTGTCTGTGTCTGCTGCTTCCTGATGACCTGAGGCAGTCTGGGGAATTATGAAGCCGCATGGATAAATGTTTAAAGAGTGAGACTTCAATAGATTAACCTAAAGCTGCTCAGACTAGGAAAAAATAGGCCAGGATCCCAAGTCTAACAGGAGTCTCTGTTCAGAATCTGTGGGCCACTGACATCATCGTGTCTTCTACACAAGATGACAAATTTATAGCTATTCTTAGATTGAAATCCAACCAAACTTTTTAAATTATTGGCACTTGAAGGGAGAACTTATAAAATAGTTTTTAGCCTGAAGCAAATGTTCATAGCCAAGCTAAACTTCCTGCAAATTGGGTCTCTAATGGAAATTCTGAGCCTCATCCCAAACTATCGTAGTGCTCTTGGGCACCACAATAGTACACTAGGGCAGTAAAGTTTCATTTCCTGTCTTAAGTGCTTTTGGGAGGGATTCCAAGGCATGTGGACTTATTACTTTAAATCTGAATGACATGCTTTTCATCTACTTGCTTGCGTAACAGTAGACAGTGCTTAGTTTTTAGGTGATGAAAACATACACTTTAGACCAGTGCACGACACATGGTCATCTTCTTAAGACTGTGGAAGAGAGAAATGAAATGAAAATGTTCCCAATGAATTTTTAGAGCTGGAGAGCTGCACAAAGGGATTTGGAAGAAATTCCAACATGAAAGAATTGGAAAGTGCATCTAATGGACTGGGGTTGATCTTCTTGTCCTCACAGTAGTTTCACAGCACAGTAATGCCTTTATTTCCAGGGATTTACCCTGATTTAATCTACTGTAACTCCATCTAAGTCACGTGGCAGTGAAACAAGTGCATTCAAAAGAAGGGACACAATTTACGTCTTTATGCATGTGAAGAGTATTGAATCATATTTTGTAGTCTGTGCTGCAAAATTAATAAATCTTAAGCAACTGTATTTAGCTTTTTGTAAATACAGGACAAGTGAAACAGTTTGAAGTGGCCCCTCTCAAGCTGTGGCTGATATGCCAGTACCTAACATGTCACCTTCCTGCCCTGAGGGTTAACCTTTTCTTACTTCTGGTTTGTTCTTGTCCTGCTCACTTACCCGGGCTCCTAGTCCCGCTCTCTTTATCCTCATGCTCCTAGCCACAGCTTCCTTTTCTTCCCAAACCTAGTCTTACGTGGCTTCAAATTGTAATGACCTATTTGTCATCTTGTTTCTTCTGTATTTGAATTAGCACCTTTCTTCAGACACACTGCTTGGCAGCATAAGGACATGAAAACAGTGGTGGGAAAAGCATTGGGGTAATGGGAACTTTTATTTTGTTTGACATGTCTGGAATATTCAGGCTGATGGGTTTCTATGCTGCATTTACTTTAGAGAACAAGCTCATTTAGATTTTTGGTTTGTGGGTTTGTTTTTTTTTTTTTCCCCCATGTTCTGCATGTACAGAGAAGCTGTTACGTAAAATTTAGTTCCTAGCTTTGTTCCTATGAGATTAGGAGTCTAAATAAATTCTACCTGTATTCATATAAGTCTTAATTTTTCTTACTGCTACTTATTGGAGGCCAGTTTTAAAATGCTGCTTAAATTTTGACAGGTTGACTTTTTTTTTTTTAAATTTATTTTTCTGGTACTAAAGAAACTCCTATATGTTACCCAGTGTGTAATAGTCATCATATGGGTATCTGTAGTTTTCTGGAACTAAAAGAAAGCAAGTATAAGTAGGAATTAAGAAGAAACATATGGCTAACGTGGTAATCAGAGGAAGACTACTTGCTGCTTCAAGGCTAGCTGTTGCATACCACACTGTGATCAGAGCGAGTTGAGTTGTATTCTGTTAGCTCTCAGTCCGTCTCAGGTAAAAGTCTTGTTTAAAATGGATGCTTCGTAGCATGGCTGATTGACCTTCTAAATAACAAAGATAACTTTGTTTTTTGACAAGAGGTTATTCAGGTCATAGAGCTTCTGAGCGTATGGTGCTGTTTATACAAAAGTGGCTGCAGGACAGGTATGTTATTTACCCGTAAGGCCAAACATGTTGGGAAAAGTCTCTTCCATTCTACAGATGGCTGCTGAAACTCTTGGCTAAAACTTTTTGTAATATCCTGTCACTTTTGGCTACTCTATAATGACTTTTATTTTTGCCCTACAAACTGTATTGCTCTGGAACTGGTCGCTTGAATCAGCCTCTAAGTCATATCTAATGAACTTTGATTTGTGTTGGAACTCATCTCAACTATATAATGAAACAACTGCTGAATGAAAAAAAGGCATGACTGCCCTAGGAGGAGCAGAGCGAACTGTTCCATGGAAATCTGCTGGACGTGGCTCAAATATTTTTGTTCGGTGCTGTGAATGACCCACTCTTTTGGGGTCAGTTATTCATAACTGACTCATTTAATAGAAATTCATCATTAAAACTTGTATTTTAAAAAGTAGGATTTTTCTAATAGTTCTATTTGCGTTTGAAAGGTTTTAATTAGCAGAAGCTAACATGAATAGAACACCATCTTGCAAGCCATCATTTTAGGAAAAGATAATTGATCGATATTTTCCTAATAAGTTTTATCACCCCAGCAGTCAAATTGACCTTGGCAAGTAGAGATCTTTCTTTGTTGCTCCTGCACACTAATAAATTCTGCCTGTTAACAATGATAGCTGTTTTAGGAATAAATAGTGGAAATAGAGATAGTTTGAGGGAAGGAGCAAAGAAAGTCTTTGAGGGATACATAGTTTTCAGTAAAAGCATTAGAAATGAGCTGTGTTTATTTGTTGAGGAATAGTCTGTTGCACAAAATAAAAAAAAATGTATTTATATATGTAGTTGCATTTATATAAACCATATATATATACATATATATGTAGTTTGATTCATATATGCTTATACACACACAGAGTATTTACAGTATACATGCAAATATACCTGGTGGCATTGTGGATCTAATTAGAAGAAATGCACTGTGGAGGGTTAATTGAAATAGATTCCTATTCACAGACTTGATTCTTGTTTATTATTAGTGAACTATCAGTGGATCTGATGAATTAGAGGGGGAAAATACCAGTGGCCAATTTATATAATGAGTTGTCCCCCTCCCTTAGTTGGGTGGGTGTATTTTTTCTGCCTTTGACTGTTGAGGCATGGAGTGGCCGTGGCTAGAGGAGATGTATGTAAGCATGTACAGAATTCATTATGAGAGCAGTATAAAAGTCACTGATAGAAACTCTTCATGACATCTTCTTGACCTGCTGAAATACTACAAATCATTGTTTTCTTATGTCTTAAAGTGAAAGTCAACCTATTTAAGGTTAAGAATGAGGACAAAGCAGCAGATTGGACACTTTACAGCAGGCAGCTGTATTGTCTCCAAATAGAAGTGTAATTTCCTCAAAACTGGGAAGTGTGCATGCATCCATCTAGGCTTCCACTTAATATGTTTTTTCCAGGATGGTGTGAGATGAAGTGTAAAATTTCTTTTTAATGGCTCCAGGAACTGCTTTGCAAAGTCTTGGAGCCTCTGCATTTGTAAGAAGAAGAATGACCTATTTTATCTCCCTTTGGAAAGACTCAAATCCTAAATATTGTGGGATTTATGTTTTTGTGTGCTACCATAGTGATTAAATTTTAGCTTTTACTTTGCACCTGTTGCCAGTGTGCACATGTGGCTCAACAAAGATGTTAAGTGGTGTTTGTAGTCACTACCTGACATAAATAAATGACTGAATCCACTCCTCCAGAAACCTCGGCACCTATTCTCAACTTCTTCCCCATCTGTGCTAATAATTACATCACCCAAAGAGCTGCTGAAGTTTGAGTGTACCAGATGTCGCCTGTGGGCCCGTAGAGCCAGACTCTGATGGTATGCGAGCTTTACTTTTGCTCCTTGAATAGCGTTGTGATTGTGAAAGGTGATAGTAATTAAGATGAACTAAGATTAAGATTAATCACTTCAATATTAGCTATGCATTTTGGACTTCTTTCTATTTTTCTTTATAACATGCCAGCATTTTCTAAAGAGTGAAAGAAAAATATTGGTAGCTCTGGTTGTGGGTCAAATAATAATAGTAATAATCCAGTGAAGATAGTGCAAGTGAAGACTAGTTTATGTCAGAGCAGGGAAGTGTACTGTCCATTTGGCTAGATTTTTATGAAGTGTAGGATGTAGGGCTTTCTTTTGGCTGATCAAATACCTGAAATTCTGAACATGCATGTTGGATTACAATCATGGAAGTGAAGGAGAAGTAGTTTCTAAGGGACCTAAACTAACTGTTGAAGCTGGTTTTTGCATAGCCTGCTTGCTTTCCTTATAGAGCACCTCCAAATAGTTCAGTGTTTCAGTTTATCACAGTTGCATACTGTGATTGTCTGTTGTTAATAAGCATTTTCCCTTTGTCAAGAATGTCTGTTGAGCTGGTGGTGCATTACAGCATATAAAAAAAAAAAAAATAAAAAATCAACATTTGCCTTCAAAGCAAACTTATCACCCTGTTCCTGACATGTCATTTTCATTCCCCTCCTTGATGTAGCAGTGTCTCCAGGGCCAGTGGGTACATTGTTGTAAGCTTGTAGGAATGAGAAATTTCTCTTGCATGGTCACCTAAAGTAGTTGGAGTAAAAAGACTTACCAGTATCCTATATTTTTAAACATCTTGTAATGTTATTTTTTCATTACGACATGTATGGTCCATTGTCCTATATGCAAGATATCATGGTAAGTGAATGATTTACATTGTGTAATTTGACAATTTTCTCTTACAGGTTATTGGAACATATAATGTTAACATTGGCATAGAAATGGAAAAATTTGCAGTTCTCATTAATGTTATCAATATGGTCATTATCAGCAGGGTTGGCAGTAAATCTTGGATGCAAACTGGATGGACTGTTAATTCACGCAAACTTGAAAAAAGCAGATAAGGAGGAAATCCTGTGAGGTGCTAAACATATTTCAGGATTTTGAACGAGATGCAGAGATGTATTACAGAGATAGAAAGCATAGAAACATTAAACCAGTATTTTATAAATCAGTTGTACTTCATCAGTTGCTAATAAAATCAGGGAGTTAGATGAAAGGACAGGAAAATTATTAGAAGCATGTTTGGCTTGTTGGAAACTACTGGTTTATTAGTGTGTACAGTCCTGCAAGAATTGGGAAGCCCTGCATGTGTGCATGGTGGGCCAGGTCCCATTGCTGGCTCTATTCTCTGGTCTAGATGTAAGCAGAAGTCATAGAATCATTTAGGTTGTAAAAGACCCTTAAGATCATTGAGTCCAAACGTTAACCTAACACTACCATGTCCACCACTACCAAGTCTGCCCTTTCTGCTAGCTAAGATTGGTGTAAGGGGATGGAGTGCCTCCTTCCCAACCATACTCAGGAGTTTTGTTGGGCTGGCAGGAGTCCTCATTTACACCTTGCACCTTCTCTGGAGGCATTTGGGTCCCAGGTGTGCTTCAGGTAGAAAGAGTAGTAAATCTGTAGTATACCCTGCCCATAGTGGTGGCAGCTCTCCTGGACATGCCTGCTCTTGCCAGCATGTTGTTTCGAGCCTTTCTGTAGAGGCAAGTGCTGTAGCTGCCTTCAGCCTCTCTAGTGCTACTATGTGTAGGCTCAGTTATCCCTTCGCGCCAAGGGGACCTCAGAGTCCAGGTAGCCTTGTCTCCTGAGACCAATGGTGATCTCATCTCAGTAGAGGCTGCTGCTTATGCATGCCTTTTTCCCAACCTCCAGCCAAGTGGACCTGTGGATTTAACTTGCTCCTTTCCAAGGATATATGACCATTGAAACGTGGAACATAGTGCCTTTGAAGAAAGTATTGTCAGTCAGGTGTTCTTGACTTCAGGCAGTGCAAGCTATATCCGGAGAAAACAAAGTAATTCTCATGTATGTGTTCCTGCTTTCATTTCCTGGCCTCTCTGAATCACTTTCGGGCTAAGGACAGAGTCCTCAGAAGTGTCCTGAATTTTCTTCCAGTTTGATCTTTTCCACTTTTGAACTCCTCTCACCCTTTCTGTACCAGTTGCACCTTCAGATCATCCATTGCTTGTTTGCTGGACTTTCTGGCAGGACCCGTTTCTTAGTTTGTTCAGGGTCTTCATCCAGGGAAGTTGCCATTTGAATAAAGGACTATGCAAGTCTAGTGGCAGTTTTTTAGTCTTTGCTTCTATTTGGGAATTAAATTTAAAAGACCTACCAGAAGGTTAAAGAGAAAACTGTGTATCTGATATAGATGAAACATGCAGGGGAATGTAAGTAATCATCTTATTCCTTTTGGTAGCTCACTGATAGCTAAAGATTAGCTACAAGACCAGTAGTGGCATCATAGATGCTCTACAGGTTCCACAAGATTCCTCTGCCTCGGATACTCTTAGTGTACATTTGGAAGTTGTCTTTACAATAATGAAATCTAATCATATATGTTCATTTAAAAGAAAATAGCTAGCATGTATCCAGGAAGAATACCTGCAGGCTTTGAGGAAAACAGACTTGACATAATCTTATACATGTGAGTCAGTTTTGTAAGTGAGTATTTTTTATGTATAACGCATATAGATAAAAAAGCAACATATGTAAGTAAATTTATATCTAAGTATATATTTTTTTATATGAAATTATATAAATTTGTGGGCTTTTTTTTTTTTTTTTAAAGACTGAAAGTCCTGCAGGGATATCAAGGCAGCCTTCAACAAAAGGATCAAGGCAACGTGCCAGACCCGGAGGAGAAGGTAACTAGAGGGAGGATATTATTTCTATTAAATGTACTGGAGGGTTATTGAATAGGAATAGCATAAATACTTAAATATCTGTGTTTATTATGCTTGTTTTATACTCCTGGTCTGCATTTATGAATCAAATAAGCAATTTTTCTGCATGGATTTGATACATAGAAAGTGATATGTGGTTCAGTTTGCTTGCGTTCCTCATGCCCAATTGCAGATATAAATTCAAGCCTGCTCTTGATATTTATTGTGTTCTCTCTGAATGGGCATTTTTTAGTTTGTCTACAAATATTTCTTCACAGGAACTCTTTCTTTGCTTAATAATCTAGCAAGTTTACACAAATATGCCTTGCAAAACTTTGGTTTCTTTTTTTTCTGTCAGTGAGCATTAGTGGACAGTATGTCTGAGTTGATAAAATTATTGCATGTTACCTTTCAATAAAGTCACATGTAAAGGTTTGTTAAATGTTTACAGCATGGCAACATTCAGCACAGTGTTTTTGTTTTAGTAAGACTTAAGATATGTTGTTTAAGGTTGTTTTAATAAGATGAAAGACAATTGTGAGGCAAGATATGCTTTCCTGTCAGGATAAATCATACAGCCGTGAACGCTGAATTTGTAACTTTATCACTTACTAATGTTTGGGAAGAGTGCTCTTCCTAAATTTGGCTAGGGACTCCAAACTTCACTTGTTTTCTGAATTTTTCAGTTGTTTCTCAAGGATCCGAAATCTTAGCCTTTGGTCTTTAGAAATTTTGGGTTTATAAATGAAAAGATCATATTTGTCAAAAAAACCCCAACCAACGAAACAAAAAAGGTATATTCCCTGAGATTAACTGAGTTCTGGCCAGTGCAAAAAGGAATTTCCCTGGATGTTTGTTCGATAAGCAGTACACTAAACCATTTACGTTTCTGTTGCACTTTCTGGGGTTTCTTCAGTGAAAAGATGGTTGGGTCAATTCAAGACCAGACAAACCTTTCTGAGTGATTTCAATAGCTTGAGACACTTACATTACTGCAGATGTAAGCTGGAGAACAGGTGATGATAAGGTGTTAAGCAGAACCTCTGGCTTGCAGTCCATTTGATGATTAGAGAAGATTCCTCTGAGTATTGAAACAACAGCATGTGTTTGTAGATGCTTTCTTCAATGTCTGTCATTACAGCTGTGGTCAACAGTATTGCACCTGGACTGGTGTCAGGCTAGGACCTTGTGGTTTGAGTTGGAACAGGGAAGGTGATCTGGGTGTCATCAGTACCGAATCCTATCCCACGTCATCTTCCGCAGTAGCTCAAGCAGGTGTAAGGAACCAAGCCCTGCTGCATTTCTGATGAGAGTGCTGTGGAAGAGAAGGTCAGAGCATCTCTGAAGGAAGGAACTGAGCAGAGCTGTGTAAAAGTCCCATCTCTTTGTGCCAGCCAGGGGTCACCCCTGGTAGCAGTGCAGCCACCACCTCTAATGGATGTGCAGAGCCAGGACTCTGGACTGAATCCTGGCTGCGCTAGTCTTGACAGCAGATGAGGAGGTGGCTCTGTAGTCATCTCCTCCTTGCGTCAGTGCTAAGTCTGTCAAGACTGTCACTTGCGAGAATAGATCTGTGGTATCCATGCTTGTACATTAGTGGATTGATTCAAACTGTAATTGTATTGGTTGCAGGCCATTTTATCAGCCTTTGGATGACAACCTCTTCCGTCTTTGTTGACTGGAGCTATTTAACAAATGGTACAGTCATCAATAAATATCTCTCTGCATCTGCCTTGCATCTGCATTAGTCATTTCTCTTTGTCTCTTTGGACAAGATTTAAGTGAAGATTTTAGTCTTGAGACTTAACAGAGTTTAATAGACAGTTGTGCCAGGCTTTGCAAATAAGTAAATTATTTTACATTTTAAGGTGCTTCATTTCAATTGATTATGTCACCAGTATGTAAGTGTGTTAAATATTGTATTTGCAAACTAATTGGAAACTAGATTCTTGTCAGAATATCCAAAGTACTTAATACTTTCACATCAGGAAGAAAGGAATCTAAACTTGGTTCTGCTAGCAAAGAGGACGAATCTAGAGAAACACCTATGTAAGGAATAAAACAGGCTGCTAACCAGAACTCATATAATGACCAGTGTAAGTGCGATTTCTGTCTGTATTTAAGTGCCTTTTCTCCCCTATTCTTATTTCAGTGACCTGTCTATCTGCGGTCATTCAAGTTTTCTTTCTATGGTTTTGTGTCTGGGTGCTGATACTTTATTTCTAATGAAGAAGCCACTGTACATCAATCAGTTCAACATCTCAGTTCGGAAGATACAATAACACCTGTGAACTGATGTCTGTTAAAATAGCCAATCCTGGCTAAAGAGTGGTACTGTTTAGACTAATGAAGCATGGAGATCTTCATATGCTTAATCTGCCAATTTCACTATTACTAATTTATGTAAAGAGATTGTGTGTTGCTGTGTGTCTTCCCAAGCATCCATGTTTTCTTTGCGTTTCTGTTTTAGTAGGTTTCCATGTGTCAGAGGCAAAATACTGAAGTTACATCAGAGCTTGGGTAGTGTTTTCAGAACAATCAATAGTCATGTTTTCAAAAGGAATCGGGGAAAAAAAATAAAAATATGTTTAGGCACCTTAAATACCTTCGAAAAGATCTGGCAGTTTGGACTTAGGAGCTTGATTCAAGACGGTACTTGAAAATTGAAAATTTTACGTCACATCTCATGTACGTATGTGCTGTGAGGTTTTAATAATTTTGCAGCTGGAAAATGCCATCTGGATTCAATTAAAGACAGTCTTATTTTACTACTTAGTGATCCTTAGCTGATCCTATAACTTTCTTTATTTCTCAAGATTTGAATATTTGCTTTATAGCCTGGACTGGCACTAAAGTACAGTGAGCATACACACCCAATTTTATAGGATTGTCCCTTCTTTAAAATCAGGATCCAGTTTTTCTGATAAATTAAATATGGTTAATGACTTATCCTGTGTTTTGTCTTTAAGGCAAATATTTTAAAATACTCCTCTTTTTATGGTGCAGCAGGCCAGCACACTCAAATTTCAGTTTACGTAAGTGATAAATGCTTTGGGGCATGAGCCCTCTTTTTGTTCTAACACAGCAGAGCTGCAATAGATGAGTAAAGCACAGAGACACTTGAGTAAGTCATCCAGAAGGTAGTTAGAACCTTCTGGAGCTGCCTGTTGCATACTGGTCTCTGTAGTTACTGGTGATGGTGAACAGAGCTTTCTTCATTTTCTAATATTAACTGGACATAAATAATATTAAACAGGAGAACACACAAGTGCTAGTGTCATGACTAAACTTGTAATAAATAAAACTGTAGTGGTGAATGGGGGACTAGTTAAGCAAAACCAGGTATATTTGCTATCCTAGTAATTAATTTAGACCAACATTTGCTTATCTCTATTATGAACAAATTCCTAATGGTATTGGAGCAAATGTTTTGGGTTTTCTTTTTTTTTTTTTTTAAATATAGTTAATGTTACATTTATTACTACTTAGGCAAAGACTGCTTGTATAGTTGCAACATGCCTTGCAGCAAAGCTTGTATCATGCAATAGAGACCGGTTTTGCTAATTTAAAAGTTGACACATACATTGAACATAATTTTTTTTTAAACTTGCAGTGGTGCTTAATTGAGATCTGAATAGGTTTCCTTTCAGACACTGAAATAGTTTATATATAAAAATGGAGTAAAGTGCTTCACTTTCCACTGCTGGTTTGGCTTTTCTGCTAAACTCCAGACCTTACGGGTAACTTGTGACGCTGCTGTATAGGTCGGTGATGAATGTTTACATGCTTGTTTCAGTTTTAATAAATGACAACTCATCCTGGCCTTAATCAGCACAGGTAAATTAAAGTGCTGGTTGACCTTTCTCTGCTGTGTGTTAATCTCCTCCTAAACTAGTAGAATTCTATTTCTACTGCAGTGGACTCTGTATCTTTGTGTATGCTTCCCATGGCGTGGGTGGAAGAGTAGATCCTCTGCTATTGATCTGTATGTCCTCAGTGTTGGATGTTTCAACCCAAGCATTAGGCAGGGCTCTATCTGGTAAATCTTTCCCTGTGTGCTCAGAACTGTTTGTTGATTTGTTCTGGTGGTAGAAACGGTATCTGAGATATCCTGGTTATAGAGAGGGGCCCTGTGAATGAATCTGTTCTTTACCTTTGTGTTACAGTTAACTGTTGCAGATAAGGAGACTTGGAAGTGCTGTGTACCATTCCTGGGCAGCACTTTGGGTACCTCTGTTTTAAATGTTCTCTTTCTGTATCTGTAATCTTGCCTATTTCAGAATTTGTTCTGCTTCTGCTGCATTTTGAAGAGTGTGAGAACTGAGCGTATTACTCCAAATGAAAGGGTGTGTGTGTGTATGCATATATTTTTAATGATAAGATTAAAGCTAAGTATTCTTCCCATTCTGTACATATCTTGACAAACTGTATGAATAGTTTAACTCTTCTTGACCACGTGTGTTCAATGCACAGGTATATTTTCAGGAATGATGTACAAATGGTGTTGAATTGTTTCTTCTTTGTGTCCCTTCACCCTGAGTGTCTCTTCTCCCTGGGCAGATAATTTAGAAATCAGATATATACGTGAATATTTCAGCTTTCTTCCACTGTGTGTTACTTTGCCTTTGTCAACATTGTCCTATTGTACCGGGAGAATTAATTTACGATAATTGGTAGATGAAATGGTCTTTCATTTTTATGCAAAAATAAAACTGCTTTAGGTAGCATCAAAACTGAACAGCATTTGTGGACTAGGTTCTTTTATGGCATTAACAGGAAGTTGTGGAGTTCAGCTACCAGAAAACAGCTTTTCTTGCTTGAAATTTCTTAATGGCTTTAATATGAAATATATTTAAAGCTAAAGCCTTTGAAACAAACCAAAGTGCTAAAATACACAGTATTGTTTGTATACTACTTGGAATGCATAATGCAATTACTTAGACTTTATTAGGTAAATAATGTATTGTTTCACCAGATATCAGGCTAACAAATAATATCTGTAAATCATTTCTGAATTGAAGAAGCTGCCATTAGTTTGCAGTAACATACGGAGTTCAAACAGTGGTCATGTAAAAAGTCTTTGTGAGCTTTGAACGTTATTTATTTACACTCAAGATGGTTTATTAAACTAGGATAGCCCTTAAAGAATTAGTAAGTGTAACAGGTATTTAGCATAGCTTTTTACTTTAAATTTTTATTGTATCTTTGATTTCATTTGACTATAAATCATTTTGTTATAGGAACCATGGAAACAAAGAGCATGGCAGATAGGATTTCAGAAGACAATGTTGCTAAACTGCAAGAGAAAGCTGAACCAGGACTTACAGTAAAACAAAAAGGTAGGGAGAAAAAAAAACTTGACTGCCGTGGAAAGTATAACTTGAGTGCTTCGGGGTTGAACTTGAATCCGCACAGGTAAATGATTTAAGGAGGGTGATTTACACTTAATCCAGCTGCTGCCTTGTGTTTTAATTACATCTTGTGATTAATGTTGTGGTTTGAAAAATGTACATTCCCTTATAAAACAGTTAGTTTATATTCTGTCCTTCCTTACTCTTATGCAAGTTTTCAAAGAGGCCAGTGCTTACAATGTCCCAAGGAAAATGCAGGGCTGCTGTGCCTGAATCCCTTGGTGACTTGTTCTATGTAAGAACGGAATCATTGCACGTTGCCTTTTTGTACAAGTATTCGTGAGGCTTATGTATTGTTTGCATTTTACAGGATTTTAGAAGATTCAATTTCTGCATTCTTATTTTCCCCATTTTTTTTTGGTATATAGCTCCCAAGATGTATGTTGTTAATGAGGTATTTGTATCCCGCTACAGTATACATGGAGCCATAGCAGCAAAATGTAGGAGGAAGAACTGAAATTTAAGCAAATAGCTGAGTTCTTGTTTTCTCCAGATCCAGATGCCTGACCTAGTTAGGTACCGTGTATGTGGGAGGTCAAAGGCTGTTTCCGAGTCCACCTGTGGCCTTCAGGGCCTCATAGTTATGTCAGTCTAATGAAATGTAGACAGTTGTCCAAGACATTTGTGTGACCTTAGACAACTGGGAGAGCTTCCATGGTAATTCCTTTTAATCTTTTGGAGCTGTCTTGTGTATTGGAATGTATCTATTATGGAATATAACTTTATATTCCTCTATTTCTAATTTGAATGTATGAAAGAGGAGTACCCCCAGGTTCATTATTGATTTAGATTGGATTCTCAGGTGGTGTAAGAACCAAATATTATATTGACTTTTCTTTATTTTCACCTGTATTCAATAAGATAGTGTAACATAGCAGTGCATTAGTGAACCTTAATTTTCTGTAAATTCTTAGGGAGTTGAAATTGTCATTCACACATTTAATAGCTTTCACAGTTGAAATGTGAAATCAATTATGACAGTTGATAAGAACAGTCATTGTAGATAGCTAAGTTGGATGCTATGCAAGATTTTTCTTGTTAAATTCTAAAATGAGCTTTTTGGGGGGTTTCACTGGTGAGTTTATCTTCTCGCAGTTTTGGTAATTACGTTGAGGTACATTTCTCTGGGAGGAGTAATGCCAGGCTCTATTCTAAAGTTTATCTCAAAGTAACCTTAAGATGTTGTCAGTCATTCGGTTGAGCCATTGCAGCCACCTACCACCCATCGGCAGAGAAATGAGGTTATATGCAAAATATGAACGTCCTTTCTACCATCTTGGCAGAGGGTCTGGGAGGGCAGTGTCGTAAACTGAGTTGTGCTAATCCAGTTCTTCAGGCAGTGTCTGAATGCATGTGCTAATGGGAGGAAATGGGGAGTGTGAAGGCAGGAGTGCTTATGTGGTGGCAATGCCAGTTTACACTAGTGGGAGCGTTTAGGAAACTCTGCTTAGTTTGCCAGTGCCCTTTGAAGCATCCTGGAAATCACAGTCCTTGCAAGATGGTTAGGCACTGTCTTGTCTGCTTATGTAGCTGGTTCGTGATACCGTTTGGTTGGTTAATTGCACATTAAGGTTTATACTCTAGCTAACTCTAGTGGAATAAAATGGACACTGGGTGTTGAAACGGCTTGAAAATCGCAGTTGTCCTTCTGCAACTCCAAACCTGCCTTTGGAGTAGGTTAGTCAGAGAGGAGATGATGACAGTTCTTCCACAAAGTTTTCCAGGGTTTAGGGGGGGTACTTGAGACTACTTGAAAAGAAATATTACATTCTGCATACTGCTTCTGAATTTCCTCTATTCCCATATTTGCTGACTGTGTAAACTTAACTTTGAGGGGTGAGCAGTCCCTGTGCTTTAGTAGTTCAAAGTACATTGGCATGGCTGTGCCTCTCAAATCTGTTGTATCTTTTACACATCTTACTTAACTTTCAAGAGTGTCTACTTGGATATTCTATCAAGACAAACATTTTGATTGTCCAGTGTCTTTTGGCTTTTAAAAAATGTTTCATTTCTGATGAGGGTGTTCATCTTAGTGACCAGAACGTTGATGTTTTTAGCATGGAAGTATGTTTGTTGAAAATGCTCCTTAATCTGTTTGTCCCTGTTCTCCCAGGCCCAGTAGTCATTCCCAAGTAAGAAGCTAGCTGGTGCTTCATATCTTAACTTGGTCAGATTATTGTTTAAGAATTTGTATAACTTCTCTGAAAAATCAACTGATTTGTTATTTCCAGGTGAATTTGCCAGTGACTCAGGAACGTTATAATGACAATAGACCATCACGGAACATACCAATGATAGTTTAAAAGTTCTAATAAAAAAACAGTGCTTTTTAATAAATAAAGGACTTCTCTAGTTTAGTGCTTTTTTTCCCTTTTATGCTATGTATTAATTTTAAACTGTAACAAAGCATAATCTAGTTATGTTCAAATGCTTTGAGTAGACCTTATTCAAGTAGTTTCTATTTAAAAGAATATCAAAAAGCCATCTATGAAAATGCTTTGTGTGCTTTGGGTTAAGTGTTTAAAAAAAAAAAGTAGTTTATGAGCACTTTATGGGTTCTAACTTGAAAATAAGGAGAACCTGTGGGAAACTTTTTGCAATATATTACAGGTAGTTATTGCAATAACCAGATTAATTAAACATACATTTCCCATTTTGTTAATGTCAGTGCAGGACATTGTTTCTGTCCTTGTATTACTTGTTGTGTTTGTGGCTTCTGTTCATTTTAAAAGTGAAAGTGATCCACAAAACCATTCCTCAAATAACTGGATAATTGGGCCAGTAACAGTGAATCTGGAAGTCTCCTGGAAGTCTGGTATATGTGAGGTCCCTGAAGCATTTCTTACTTTGCTCTGTGCAAGTGTCACAGCACTGTTCTGTGATACCATCACTGTCCTGTCTCCACTGGTACTGTGGGGCTAGGATGAACCAGGGAAGTGAGATTTTAGAGATGCCCATTTCTCACACACAGTAAATGAATGCTTGCAGGACTCCTTTCAACTGTTGACTTTCTATCTTGTGAGCAGCTGTTATGTCAGTGTAATGCATGTCAGGATGTAGCAAGAGCAAGAAATCAGCTGAGAACTTGACTATGGTTGATAACTGCTCCAAAAGCTAAATTCCTTAAGCAATCTGCACTCATTGCTTGATGGTAGCTGTTTCCTTGAAAACAAAAATAGTGATTCTTGCAAGCGTTGTTTCCTGGGAGCTGGGTGTATATAGAGGCAAGGGAGGACTGTATGTGCTTCCTACAAACCTGCAGAAACCTGCTATGCCAAAGATCAGTGATGGCTTTCCAGTAGAAGTAAAGCTGTACTATTAACAGCCTGAATGTAACACCTAAAAAATTAAAAATCCTGGACATGCTCACTCACCTCTGCAAGCCTGTATGCATAAAGGCTGCCAAAGAGTTATTTGTTTGGTCTGACTTAACTGGGGTACCCACAGTCACCAGTGGGCTGTCTCAGCTCATGTGATTGTACGTGCAGGCCCTAAGCAGAGCCTTTATGCAAAACCTAATATTTTATTAAGGAGCAGACCTCTGTTTTTTATTTCTCCATACTTTAGTAATCTCCATCATGTGGGAAAATGCCTTTTACTGTGTGGAAGGGGAATTTTGAAATCCCTATTGCATCCGTTAGGCAGGGATGCTAAATGAGATACTCACGGAAGCGCAGGAAGCTCATGGTAGAGCCAGCAACAGAGCGCAGCTTTCTGACTTGGACCCCTCTCAGTCTTAATATAGGGACCACTCCAGCTCATGTGCTGGACTGTAGGACTGGTTGATGCATGGTGGTCATTTCTGTACCAATAAGACTGAGGGAAAACTTACCATAGTGCTTATGGTTAAGTGTATTTACATATAGTATCAATTATGTTGGAAGAGACCTTTAAGATCAAGTCCAGCCATAAACCGAACACTGCCAAGTCCACCACTAAACCATGTCCCCAAGTGCAACATCTATAGGTCTTTTAAGTACCTCCAGGGACGGTGACTCAACCACTTCCCTGGGTAGCCTGTTCCAGTGCTTGAGAAGTCCTTCAGTGAAGAAATTTTTCCTACTGTCCAAGCTAAACTGCCCCTGGCGCAACTTGAGGTCATTTCCTCTTGTCCTATCACATGTTACTTGGGAAAAGAGACTGACACCCACCTCACTACAACCTTCTTTCAGGTAGTTGTAGAGAGTGATAAGGTCTCCCCTGAGCCACCTTTTCTCCAGGCTAAACAACCCCAGTTCCCTCAGCTGTTCCCTGTAAGACTTGTTCTCTTGCATCTTCTTTATGTTCTCCAGTAGAATCAATACACTGTATTAACATTTTTTTCCTCCCTTCAAAATGTAGTATATGTTCTGTACAGTAGTTTTAAAAGAGAAGGTCCTACCTGTGAATACGCACAAATGCTTTAGGAAAGTGGAATGCAATAGACTCCGTGAAAGATACTTGGATTTCTTTGCCTAAGTTTGGGCTGGTAAAAGCCCAACTGCCTTGGCCTTTTTCTTTCAGTGATTTTGGAGCAGAGGGACACTGATGTCAACAACAGTGTTAGAGGAGTCCTTTCTGTGTGTGGCATTATATAGAAGAAATGCTTACCAATAGATTATTCATCTGACCAAGCTTTCTAGATGGAATCCAAGAACATCAAATGACTTCTACCTACCAAAATTATTTGTAGAAATGCTAAAGCAGAAAGTGGTAAATGATGTCCGTAATCCTGCACAGTTAGATTGTCAAGGCAAAGATGTCATTCATCTTGTTCTCCGCCATTATAGAGAGCGGTCTTACCTGAGCTTGGTAGGTGTGGGTTCATGCCGCTAACTGCAGTGGACTAGACAGCATAACTCAGTGGGAAGCCTATCAGTTGGGTAGGAGTGGTTAAACTGGTTCTGTCTGATTTAAATTGCAAATGGGCGAACTCCATGGAAAGCATAACTGTGCTGGGATTACAGAAGAAGCCCTCATCCTCGAATCATAGAATCCTTGATGATGAAAGGGACAGACAGATGGAGGTCAGCCAGTCCAACCCCCTGCTCAAATCTTGGTCAACTAAGAATACCAGCAGAGGAAAATAAGAAGTTAAGGTAAACAAAAGCTTTAACCCCCCCCAGCGTAGAGTATATAGGGGTTTTTCTTAATGTTTTTTCCTCTTACAATTTTGTCTAATGAGCAACTTGAAGTATTGCAAATGTTACTGCGCAACTGTGGAAGAATTGAGTGAGATTATGTCATTTTCACAGATGAGGGAATTTCACTATATTAAGAAACACATAAAAAATAAAGTTCAAATATTTTTTCGATGTCCCTTTTGAATTGTGAATGCTCTGAGATGTTTAAAAACTGGAAGTTCGCAAGATATTTAACTTTTATATAAGCTTATAGAATTTTATTTCTAATTTTAAAAGTTTGTCATGTGATGTGTTTCATGAGCACACATTCAAATATAGTGCTGATAAGATTCAATATACTGTTTTAAGAAAAGTTAGATTTGCCTTGCCAGCTAAGCCAAAATTGTATGTTTGTTTCACTTAATAGAAGCAGAAGCAGAGAATATGGCTCCTGAAAAGTCTGCAGTATCTGAAAATGGTGAAGTACCTAATGATCTTCCACCTCAGCCCATCCAAAGGTTTGTTCCTATCCTTTACTCTGTTTGAATCAAACTGTGATGTGTCTGGAGGTAATACAGTCCATTTGAAAACAGCAAGGAAACTTGGAGCAGTGTGTTTCTGCTAGTGGTACCAAGTAATAATGTTATCCCATGTATGGTTCCCTTTATTCACTTTCATTTCCTTCTGTAAAGAAATCTTTAATATTGTGAAGTGTTTTGGACTTATTTTCGTAATCCATAAAGTGCTTCAATGTAATGTTATTAAAATATGAGGGACATGTGGAAAGTCTAATGAGAAGAACATTGCATTACATACATGACTTTCATAAGTGTGATGTAACGGATAAGATGAACTTGCCTTTCAAATCCCAATTTACTTTTTCTTTGTCCAGCGAAGGATTATGTAATTGTATCACTTGTGTAAATAATTTTTTTCTGTTTACATTGCAGTGTGTACTGTTAATGCTAAATTTGTTGTTAATGGTAAAAAACTGTGCTGTATACAGGTTATTTTTTAGTGAGACAAATCAAGAGGTGGGTCTACACAGAATCATAATTTTTTTTTTAGGACACATTTTCTAGATTTTTCTAGACTCCTACTAGGATAGCAAGTATTGCAATATTGGATTGTATACTGGGGATGTTTTCAGTGTTTTTATGCATTGGCTAATTTACTCAGCTCGTGTGTTTACATGTCTGTTCTTTTGGAGGACATGTGAGGCTTCCTTTTATAGTATAAATGAAAAAGCCTCTTTGTTATTGCAGACGTATTCCCCGTCCTAGCAGTGCAAGGCCAGCACCACCCCGAGTAAAACGTCAAGAAAGCGCAGAGGTCTTACTTCCAGAAAGGTAAAGAATGTGGGAGATGCAGAGCAGATGTTTCTAGCATTGACGCCACAGTATTCTCAGATCTTCTGTGCCTTGCCTGCTGCTCAACAGCTTTAGGATGGATCACCTCACTGCTCATTGATTCAGACTGGAAAATTCAAGCCTGCTTTATTTGTTTTATTGTTTCTGAAAATCCAGTGGAATACCTAGAAATAAGGGTTGCTAGTCCCATCTGGAAGTTTAAAAAATAAGATTTAATATTTTTGCTTTTGGGAACTCTGAAATAGATAACCCTAGGACATTAACCTAAGCTACCACTAGAATATATCTGTGAAACATGCAGTAAATATCCCATGCTCAAAAAAGGCTGAAACAGCTATTTGAAATTATGGCCTAAATGGCTTACAGGTGATCTCTGGTAAGTGCCAATCACTAAAGCAGTATGTTTAGAAGGAAATATATGTCCTTTTGCAAGAGAAGGATATCTGTTTTCAGAGTTGGGCTGTGAATGGAAATGACAGTTTGATGTGCTCTTAGTTGGTGCTGCTTTATTTTTTTGGGAGGGAGGAAGGGTGGGAACTGCTGTTTCTTCTAGGTGGAACTTAGTAGGTTTGGACAGATCTTAGTAAGTTTTCGTTTTGTTGTGTCTCTTTCAGGAGTGGTGGTGGTAAAGCAGTCTCAAATGTGATCATAGACCAGCAGATTTCTGATGATGATGACCAGTTTGTGGTGGAGGCAGCACTGCCTCTGCCAGAAATGGAAACGGTCTGTTAATTTTACAAATTTTACATGCTTTGTTTGTAACTTACTTGTTTAAGTAGCTTATAGCTGAATATTTTTGAATAGTTGTATATTATAGCAATACCAATTTATTGCAACTAAAGCTCTCTTCCTGCATGTGTAGGAGCCAGAAGTGGAGCTGGTTGAGGATGAAAAGCATGGTATGTTTACTTTTACATATATTTATATATATATAATAAAACCATGGGTTTAAACCAAATGCTGAACACTGATGATTAAAATTTGATTTCAAGGATACTGCAGAAAATAGATCAAATGACAAATACCTTGTATCTCAGTAATTAAAATACATAATAAAATGCTTTTCCTGTTGCCTTAAAAATTGTTTACATTAAAAAAATTGAGCAGTTGGTTTTGTCTGAATGTTTACAACAACATTTTAGTGCCAACCAGTGCTGAGAAATATACTGATTTTCCAACAGGTGGGCTTGTAAAAAGAATCCTAGAAACAAAGAAAGATTATGAGGCATCACAGAAATCATCAAAGATGACAGACACGGTAAGATGGTAATGGCCTTCAAAGATCCGTGAATATTAAATATTGCAATTGTGACCTTTTTCTCTGTCTTAAATGTGCTTTTTCCATTTATGATCAAGCTTTTCTCCTTCATGTCTTATGCTCTTTCCTCTTCATTAGTCTGTCAGATATTGTTACATTCTCTGTGTATTCCTTTCTCTTTCTTACCTTTAATTTTTGTGGTTCTGGGTTTTTTTCAGTATTTCAGTACAATTTTTCAGGGAGCCTTCTTTAACCTATTCTTTTGTTTTCCAGAACAAAGTCTGCTGATTTCAGCCTTGTCCTGATGTAGTAGGGCGCACTGCATTTGTACAGCTGCACCATTATTGTTTCCATCTTAGCTGTCCTCTGGGCATTTAAAGAGCAGTATCCTATTGCCCAGCAATCATTATCATTGTCTAAAAAAACAAAGGGTTCTCTGGTGCAGTTAACTATATAAAGTATTTTTGTATCACCTAATGTTTCCCTAGTAATATCCTAGCATACCCGAGCATTCAGGTCTGAATCTATGAAGTGATTTGATTTTATTTTTTCCACAATCAGTAGTTGGGAAAGGGAAAGTCTTTTTTGTTATTGCTGGGTTTTATGTTGATGTTTTGGGGTGGGTTCTTTTTTGGTTTTTACAGCTTATAAAAGGTCTAGAGAGAGTCTAGCAGTGACCACCAACGAAAAGCAAAAGGTTTGAACCCTCCTGATTTCAGTGTCTTCCTGTGACAACTGGAGAGCTCTTGTTTTTTCAGCCTTACAAAGCTCATGTTACAAGAAACAGCAAAAGGCAGAGCATTTAGATGGACTTTTCTGATCCATTGGCCCTTTGGAAAGTTTCTAAATCACTGAGCTAGTTTGATATGCTGGTGAGAAAGCACTGGAGAATGCAGTGCAGAGTGCTGTTATAAAAAGACAGACAGGTACGTAATGTTTTGGAAAGGCGAATGCATTTCATGAACTCTTAAATCTTCAATTCCAATCACATCTTATCTTTTTTTTTTAATGTTAATTCAGTATTGTAGGTTTTTAGAATATATATATTCTTTTTCAGGAATGATCTGTATTTTGGCATACTGTTTTAAGATGCTGCAACTGAAACCTCAGGAGTCCAGCTTTTCACAGAGCATGAAGCTCTTTGAAATAGCTGTCTGAAATCAGTAATAACTTTTGAAGCCTTGACCACTTGACTGCCTGTTTTGGCTTTATCAACTACAGTAATTTGGCAGTGAGTAATGATATTATGATAGGTTATGAGCAAAGTGTACGGCAGGAAAAAAAAAAGTCCCTGAGAGACTAAAAATATGGTAGACAGTAGACTGTTTTAAAAACCTGATCTTACCGAGAACTTGTATGACTATAATTGCTTCTACAATCTGCAGCAAAAGTGACACAATGTTAACTTTTAGGATTGAAATTTTGGGAGGGTAAAATCAATAATTCTCTTAGAGATATGCCCATATTCTTTCGTGTCCCGTAGTAATGGGTTATGCTGCCACACAGACCAGCCTTTTCATTCCTTCCCAGCAAGTTGAAAAAGTTGGGATGGCAGATCTCAGACTCTTGGGGGAGTATCTTCCTGTCTGAAGTTTGGGACTATCTGAGATCTGGGCCTGCTTGGCTGGAAGAAAATTCCTTTCATGTATTGCAAGGGCTGAGATTATAGAAGGAAATGAATTCTTATAATAGGAAAACACCCTTAGTTTTCCTGTTCATAATCTGTTATGAGTAGTTACAGCTTTTTCCCACTTGCTGGATTATATACTGTTTATTATAAATGTGCAGCTTGTAGTGTGTGCATGCTGATCATTGAAACACTGTTGGCTATTTCTAATGAATTTGTCCGATGTGAAAATTTGCCTGCTTGAGTAGGTTCTGTCTTTATAGAACTCTTTGGAGAAAAGAAGGGTTAAAAGTTGATATTACTCTGTTTATGCAGTAGCTCTAAAGCGCATTACTAGAGTGCATGTTGAGCTGGCACTTGCAGGAACAAGACATACAGCTGTTCCTGTTCCTGGTTTTGTAACTAGGTGGTGCTGTTGAATCATCAGTCTCGAGTTTTGGGACAGCATTAGTCCTTCATTTAATGTCTTCCACCAGTACATAATTGTGCTGTAAGCTGTACAGCTCAGTCTTGTGTCCTGTCAACTTAAGCACTGGACATAGAAAGGGACAATGAGGGAGGGTTTACAAAACTGCATGGTTTTCATGCTCGGGAAGCTTCCTCTGGTGTTTGTGCTAAATTTTCTGGGTTTTTTTTCTGAATAAGAGTAACTAACTAAAACGATTCCCTTTTAACCCCTTAAATTTTTTTAAATGCACGTGGGCAATTGTGTCCTTCTATAATAATCATTTAGTCCCGTTGCCTGTTTTGAGTCTCTAAAACATTCATTCAGTCCTTGTTTGTCTTTTGTTGCATCTTTTCAAGCACTGATCTGTGTTAGCAGCACTGATAATAGACAACTAGTTCTGGAAAAAAACATGCTGACTTCCTAGTCCATCACGTGAAAACCTGCATGCAACGCTAAGCTCCTGGAATATCATCTGATCTCACATCCAAGCAGCTGGCTGCTACTGCAGTAGGTTTCTTTTGCTGCTACTGCTTTTCAAATTATGTTGAAGAAGTCGTTGTGATCCATAGAGGAGAAGTGTAGTTTTCCTGATAGCAGAGGAAAAAATCAATGGAAAAGATGATTAAAAATGCTCGGAGATAGTGACTGGGACTTTAGAGATGTAGTTCAGAAAACATGAGCTGGAGATATTACTGAATCCTGGGAATTTATTTTAGAGGATAGAGGCACTGTGACCCAGGAGACAGTAAAAATAAAAAATACATTTTTTTACTTGGTGGTGTTGTCTCTGGGAATGTTTCAGGGACAAGATATGCAGAGGGGAGCAGGTGGGGGTCTGGCAGGCTCGTGTGGCCCCAGCATCATGAGCATGTCTCATCTCTGAGAGATGTTCCTAACATCACGAGGAAGGCAGTGGCAAGATTTATTCTTGTGAGACTGCAGACCAGCAATTTTGGGAGGAATAGTTACTGATCTGTGGAATCTCTTTGGAGAGATGCAGCAAAAGTAATTAAAAAGAAGGAAGAGTTTCAAGTGTTTTATTCCAGCCAAATGGTCTAGGCAGGCAAGTGGAACCATGTCCTGTTATGTTGATGGGACTGCGAGAACGGGTCAATGAACTCTGGCCAGTGTGCTGTGTTCAAATGGCCGTAGGTTTTGTGCCAGGTCTAGCTCTGCAGTCTGCTGGGAAGTAGTATCAGTCTGGGATTTGACCATTTCTCCCCAGACTGTCAGCTCTTTTATTTAATTTGTTTTCCATCAAACTGTCCAGAAGAAATATCTTCTACATCAGTATGCAACTGTATTCCAAAATGCAGTATGCGTTAGAGACTAAAAAGTAATTGTAAAATTGCATTTTGGACTAAGGTAACCAAAAGTACAGTGAAAATTTGAAAAAAAAAAAAAAAATACTTACTTTGGGAAATTACGTCTGATGAAATGAAGGTTATCCTTGTATCTGTCAGTAAGAATATTCATCTTCCCTCATTTTGTTAAACTATTCAGTACATACAAAACAAATGAAATATTTTCCCAGTTATATTCATTAGTCTTTAAAGCCGCCTTCTTCTGCCAGTCGGGAAAATGAAGGGAGAAAAAAAATGTTTGTAGTCTGAGTGCTGGAACTTTTGGCTAATATATTGTTGAATCCAATATTCACCAAAAAAATGTTCAATGGATCTACCTGATTTATTGGGGATTAATCAACTAGAAATTAGGTGAGGTTGGTGAATTAACACTTAATCCAAATGTAACACTGGTGAACTCTTGGGGATGTTTCACACCTTTGCTTCTAACCGCTGAGTGCTGAGGAGCATTTATTTGTGTTAAACGCATTCCTCTGAAACCTTTTATGTGCTGCGTTTCCCAAACATGCATTTGCTTTTTAAGAAGTTTTAATAAAGAAAAAGAAGAGGAAAGAAAAGAAGACTGAGACTTTCATCATCTAGGTTTTGCATGTGCAGAAACTTAAAATAATATACACAATTTTCAGGTCAAACAAAGAGGTCATTCTGGAAATACACAAGATTTTTCTGCCTTGATTAGCTGTGTTCAGCCTAACAAATTCCTAAAAAGACTTCCTAAGTGTATTTGTTTAGAATCTAACCCTGTAATGTTAAACAGAGAAAGAAACAGATGTTACATTTTGTATTCCACTTCATTTATTTGATGTGTGGAAAATGTAGGCAGGTTATTAAATAGTTTAAGCAAGTGGGATCACAGAATTCCCATCTTTGCACTACCAAATACAGTTCACAGGCTTCAGAAAAGAAACAGCTTTGAGGTTTGTACTAGGAACAAGTGATATTAAATAGCTTAGCACCTGGATAATATTAACTTTAATTACAAATGTGATAAATTAGGTATGTGCTTCTAAGCTTAGAACAAATACAATCGTTGCTGATTCTGTTTGTTTAAAGTTCTTCAGGTCATTGATTTTTACATTAATACATCAGCTGCATGACATTGGGTGTCCCCTCCAGTCAATGCAATTAGTAACGTGTCATGTTAACCAGATGTATTCATATGTCCCACCATTTAAGTATTTTGAAGAGGCTCACCATTCAAGACCACAGCTTCTCAACATCCTGCCAGCTTAATATGTCATAAGAAATTCTGACAGTAAAATTTAACAGGAGTTACCTGCAGAAGGACTTTCATCTTTTTATGACAGCTCTGTTTATGATGATGTGATGTTAACGCAGTGATCTGAATAAAGCTGCAGTGAGAAGTTTTTGGTGCAAGCATGCAATTCCTCAAAAAATAACTGTACCCAGCAGTCTGGTTATGGGCAAGCACCTTAATAGCTTAAATTGGATGAATGTATGCGTGAGTGTCCTTGCTACACTACTACCAGCTCTCAGGGAAAAAAAACTGTGGTCCCCAGGTAATTATGTTACAAGGTGTGAACACAGGAACAGTTTTTTT